ATATATATATATATATATATATATATATATATATATATATATATATATATATATATATATATATATATATATATATATATATATATATATATATATATATATATATATATATATATATATATATATACATATTTGTTTCGCTGTTTAATAAATACATTTTGTCACCAGGCACCGTTTTGTATAAAAATATAAAATAGATTGGATTTTGTAATGATCTTTATTAAATAAAGAATTAAACAGAAGAGGCCTCAAAGAAGATAAGGATGACGATACGTCGTCGTTATCTTTTCATAGAGCCCCTTAAAAAGTTTTAATAAAATATAGTCATTTTTATTTTAAACTAAAAACCGAAAAACTATAAAACTATTAAAGTAAAATGGTATTCTTTACTGCGTTAAAGTTAAAACAAACAAAGACAAAAATAAAAAACAAAAAAACAAAAACAAAAAAAAACTAAACAAAACAAGAAAAAAAAAAACTAAAAAAAGAAAAAAAAAGACTGAAAAGACTGTAAAAATGATTAAGAGACTTCCGAGTAAATATATGCACAAATATAAAAGTACTATAAAAATATAAAAGTTTTAAAAATTTCTGTATTAGGTTATTGTTTCCATTTTCATTTGTTTCAAACTTATTATTAAAGTTGTCTGAAGAGAGATTGCTATTAAATCGATACATAAAGGTTAAATGCTGATAGGTATTTATTTCAAATACATCCATCATTTTCATATCTTTCATTAAGGCTTTAGCGTGTTCACGTTAATCTTTAGAGTAAATGATCCAGCTGGCATCTTATAGTAAACTATAAATTTTTTTAAGTTTAGTTGGTTTTGTACTTGCCCATGAAATTTTTGCATAGCTGATGAAGCCAAAAATATATTAGTTTGAGACTTTGTTTATTGACGAATGAACGAATTCGATACATTATACCAACAGTTTTGGTGAACTTGATTGGATATTTTTTATTTGAGGAAAGCAGGATAAATTTTCATCAATCAAACTTCATAAGAATCTTATACTGGCTTGCCTTTTAACAAATTTATCATAATGGATAAGATCTGGCAACTTAAAAGGAAGGTTTTCCTCCTTTTTTTTTATGAAATATTATACAGTTTCTCAACATTAGCTGAAAGTTTTTTAGCCCTAAACCAACTATTTACTTTATTTAGTTCAATATTCATATCTGCATATAATTTTTTGACACCATTGTTAGTAATAAACAAATTTATTGACGGTTAAGAAACTTTACATTTCAAAAAAAAGCAAATAAAAAACCCGATTATTAGCTTAATTTATTTTTAAAGTTTCCAAACAATTGTTAAAAAAAAACTCTAAATTCAAAAGACACTTTTGTACTTTAGAAAAATGTTTTAATGTTATATATTTAAAATTATGGTTGAAGAAAAAAAGAAGATTTATCCCAGATCAAAAAATAATACATAATGACTATTAAACAAAAAAAAAGTTTCAAAATAATATATGTAACACCCGCTATTTAAGTTTACAATGACGCCTTTGAATAGCGTTAACATTATAAACATCATCGCTTTGTTTTTGATTTCAAGTTTCATGCAGTAGCATAACTCTTTTAAATCTTTTATATTAGTTATGAAGAGGCTCAAAGTTTCATCCAGTAGCATAACTCTTTTAAATCTTTTATATTAGTTAGTAAGGGGCATATCGGTCATATCATTAAGCTACCCGGAAGAGTATTTAACTAGAAAGTTTACGCCCCCCACCATTTCAATGTCGCATTACTTGCGACATACCCCTAATACTCCGTAAATAGTATAGCCATTAAAAACTTGACATTAAAAATGTTATCAAAGACCAATAATTAAATATAGCTTTAGAAGAAGTCCTCCATTTCTTGATTAGCTAAATTTGCTTCGTTTAGTTTTAATTTAAAACTGCTTATGTTTGCAATCATTTTGATGTCGTTTCTGATTAATATGCTTCGTAACTGGGGGCCTCAAGCTGTGATAAAAAACTTAGTGACTTCAAAATGAGTTTTACCTTGAATATAATTATTGTTTGCATTTCTATATCTATAGATATTGTGTTGTATTTTTTTAAATAGGGTTTTAAATACAATTGACATCGTATCAAATAAAAGATAAGTAGATTTATTTTAAGAAAGTTCAATTAAGGTAAGGTTTTACCATTTAAAGTATTGCAATATTTTTAGAAATTTTGTTTTCAAATAATTTTATGTGATTTATCTATGTGACATTATTGTCATTTGCCTATTGTATGTGCATAGAACTATTAACCTCATAACGGCATAACTATGAACCTCATCTTTCAACGGCATCAACGAATCAACGGCATAGAACTATGAACCTCATCTTTCGGAACCATTTTCATTCTAACCACTGTGCCAATGCTTAACTTATGGTTAACTTGAAATAATACCCTCCCCTGTAAAATTTTTAAAACATTAAAACTTTATAGACAATCAATTTTCATAAAATAAATTATTAGAATTAAATTGTAAAGTTTTAATTGTTACAGGATATTATATTTATTTTTAAACAATCTAAACATTAAACAGAAAATTTCCATTTGTTTAAAACAAATGAAATGTTTTTTGCATTATTGCCAGAAATTAGACCCCTTTTTGAATTGGATCCTTCTGCGTCAGCTGTTCCTGCTATGCCATAGTTTCAACATAGGTCTTAAAATTGTTTAAACTTAAAATTTAATCTCAAAGGATTGTTTCATTTAGTTAAAATTTTTTTAAAAAAAACAAATAATCTATTTCGTCAAACCTTATCGCGTAATGTTCTGATAGTCACTTTCTAAACTTGTTAAAAAAAGTCAGACAAAATGTTGTTTAATAAAATCAAGCAATAATCAAAATGAAACTTTGGTAAATAAAATTGTACAAAAAATTCTTTACAACAATAAACTTAGCACAAATGTTTAATATTATTATTTATTCTCCTCCTGCTAATTGCCATATAGAGGCTACATAACAAGGCCCGTAAAGATAAGTTCAGGATCATCATAAACCACTTTGACGGATCAAAAGAAAGTGAGTTTAAAAAAGAATAAAAGTAAACAAGAGTCCAAGTGAAAAGAAGTTGAGTTAGAGCAGCGTAATATATTATTGAATTGATTTTCAAACAAAGATTGATTTTGTT